AATGAACGTGGATCCGTACCTACCATGCATTTCGTCGCAAAACCACTTCCGGTCCCGCCCACTGGTCCATGGTCCGTGGAAGATTCCTTTAATTCTTTTATCCTTTTACTCAGTCACGGCGCCTAATTCCAAGTGGTATCACGCCATGTACTCACCTTCTGACTCACTGAGAAAAACTACAGTTCGAATTACTGTCTCCACGATTACAGTGAGAAATCGCATATTCGGTTCCGTAAGCATGAACAGGCTGTCGCAATATGGGCAGTACTGGCGGACGCCACGAAACTTCACTGTAATTGAGAAAAGATTGAAATAAATAATTCCGGCCATTATAACCCGTGTCGCTATTCCAACATACGGGCTATCCCCTAGGACTGAACCTGAGAGGGGGCAGGAATTTCGGGGAAAATGGGAACTGCTCACGCACCCTGCAATTGCTCCTCCCTTGTCTAAGGCTTGGTCCCGTTTTTTGAAAAAAAAGCAGATGTATTACGCAGTTTCAGATGCATAGCTCCACAATGCCCTCTTATTTCGCTATAGCGCCTAACTCTTTTTTGAGCTTCCGTTATTTGGTGCAGTAAAGGTACAGCATAACATAGGGACTTTATCTGTAACTAAGCTCTGCATGAACGCAGATCTTCGTAACTAACTAGCGCTCTTGTATGGACAGCGGACTTTCCGCTCGAACGGTGGAACCATCGGCCTCTGAAGACGACGATTCAGTCGAAACGTTAGGCCCATTAATAAAAGTTCCACCGAACAACCTCGTAAGGCACAAGAAACATTGTTACACTTACAACTGAATGCCGAGGTTACAAGAAGAGAGAAGCTGGAGAGTTCACTAGCAATATTACCTGGTCTGTAACTATCCTCTTCTTGTGTCAACGAGCTAGTGACAGTGACAGGTAAGAGCGAGGTCTTGAAAGACACCCGACAGGAGGCCCGCCGCACAGCGAGAAAGCAGAGACGCAGACGGGTCAGCGGACGAGTCGCAGCGCGTGCTGCAGTGATTTCGCGTCAAGTTGTATAGAATCTCATATCACACAGCATACGCTGCGACTCGTCCGCTGACCCGTCTGCGTCTCTGCCTTCTCGCCGCGCGACGGGCCTCCTGTCGTGTACCCGGTTTTGAATGCTAGCAAAGCATTAAAATTATCAAGTATTTTCAACTTACATGTATCGGAGATATGGATAGTGGGCAAATGGAAATGTGGATTCGAATTGAAGAAGAACGAAGAATGGTCGGCGAATAGATATGAATGCATGCTAAATTGACGAATTTGAAAACATGATTCGTTTTGCTACAAGGGTGCCGACTTTAAGGGTCACATTGAACAAAGGACGAGCCAAAGAGCCCACAAAGTATGCAAAATGTTACCGCTGAATGTCATCGACAGTTGTTATTAGTGTGCATGGGAAGACGAAGTAAAAGAAGCCATGGTTGGAACGACCAGTCGTGTGTCAGCCTTGCTGTCGATCGGTCAAACGCTTTCGAGGAGCTAAGGAAATATCAAAATTCTATTGCTGCGAGCGACTCACAAAGAGTGGCACTATCGCAAAATACGAGGGTACCTTCCGGAACTACGTTCAGGAAGAACTGGTATGATGGGAACATGAACTGCTCATTCACGTTGGGATCTTTCTTCCTTGACCGAGGATTAGTTCGGTTTTTACAAGGACTGATGTTTTGGACGGTTTTAAGGTGCATTGCCACCCACAATGCTCCCGTATCTTGCGATAGCGCCCAGAGAGTTTCACTTACCTTTGCAAAACACCGTCATCTTTTCTTTCACGGCCAATCACCTGGATGTAATCTCCCATATGCTGATGCTCATGCAGCTCACGAGCTGCTGTGGGGAACATCTAAACTATGCTTCAAGTGTGTTTTCGGGGCTAGATGAAGGTGTTCCCTTATGTCTGCTTCAATCAAGAGGCCCAAGAATGCCGAGTAATACAGAAATAAGTCCCATATCGTACTCGGGCTATTACAAAAAGTGATGGCAAAACCTTTAAGCCCATGATGCTGAATATGCTATGATGGCATCGTTCTGGGAGTTTATTTATTGAAAATTTGCACTATTACTCTCTCTTCTTCACGAGCATGCTGAGGGAATGAAAATTAGCTTTTGTTTTGAAAAAGCGCGATAAAATAGGCCGATCTAAGGTACCCTCCCTTCAAAAAACGAGAAGAGCGTCGGGTGCAGACCATACACCACAAGTGACGACGGCCTCCACAAAATGTAATGTTTTCTGCCAATGAAATGATTAGCCTGTTGCAGTTGTATTCTATCAGTTGTCACTAATTACAACTATCATTTACCAAAATCAGCTATCACTATGAACCACTACTAACCAGATTTACTTGGAGGCCGTCGTCACTTGTGGTGTATGGTCTGCACCCGACGCTCTTCTCGTTTTTTGAAGGGAAGGGCACTTAAAATTCCCGCCGTAAAACTCTCACAAATAGCGGCGCTGGGAAACTGACACGTAACAACACGTGTGGTCGTGTTGTTCAAGTTAACTGACGAGTTTCACATTAGAACTTCCACAACCCAACACGTAGCCGCACTCTTCTGCGGATTTTGTACCACGAGTTTCTTTGGCTCCGCCCATTCTACCAAGAGCAGTCCAGGAGATTGGCTTCCCCTTGGGCTGTTTTTCCTTGCAGTTCCATTTTTGCGGAACCTTGCAGATGGTCTTCTGTAGCACACACGACACATATAAAACGGCAGTAAGCATACCTCATCAAAGCCTTCTGGTACACCCTGTGACGTGGGGAAAGCGTCGAAATGAAGCAATCCGTCCAGAATCAGCACGCCACTTACGGTGGCATTTGAACGTGACAGGTACGGTGACAGAACTTCTTCGACAAACGCGTGACTTCCAGCAAAAGCATTAAATATAGCAGATTGATTTGCTTATAGCATGAGCCCAGTCTCATCTCAGTGCTAAGATGTTTTTCCCGAACCTTCTAAGGTTACAGTACCTGATGTTTCATGTCGAAAAAGGCGTAGATTAT